TATATATATATATAGATACATATATATACACACACACACAGACACACACATATACGATTGCATTGATGTTGAATGATAAAGTGGTTTTTTCAATAATTGGCGATGCAAAAAACACGACCAGAATGTGGTCTTGAAACGACAATTAGGTTAATTATCATAATCACGTTAAGTTTACGTATTCAGTTTATAAAACGAATCAATATTGTAACAACTGACGTTCGCAGCATAACTGTCAGGACTTCCTGTCTGAATTTTTCCTTGTTGTTAATACAAAAAAATTCGAACTTATTGAGATAGCGGTCATTTTTGCGGATTAAATACAAAATGTTTTATCATTTGCAATTGCTGATTCTGTACAGCGGTTAAGTTACGAGTCGTGGCGCGATTTTTCAATTTTCTCTCAGATGACTTGTCCTCGATTATACAATACTGTAACAGTTATGTTGTAGTATGTTAAGTCTATATAGTATTAGCTGGCACCAGTTTAACTAGCTACTATTAGCCAAACTGAGCAGAGATTTATATATAAAAACATGTAATATCTAGATACCGAGCTAGGCTGGTGCTGAACACTGTAGAATTTTTGCTAACGTGTGAGCTACGATCTGTATTCATATGTTTTGATTTTTCTGTTTACAATATCGTCTAGTGAATCCAATTTTCTGTTGTTTTATGCAGTGTCGTTCCGTTTATCGAACTTTTATGCAACTGATGATAGATCGAGGATTCACCGAGCCCTACATTATTCATTTTGCTTTAGTTCTCTCTTCTATCTATATTTGAGAGATGTCGTAAGTGATTTGATTCGAATTACAGATGTCTCTTTGACAGCAGCACATTTATGAACAGAAATAAATAAAAACGAAAAACATCAACATCGATAATAATGGATAATGACACGAGATGAGTATAATTTTAGTACAGATAACGAAATAGTTTCACTCGGAGATATTCGAAACGAGCTATTATTTCTCTGTGTTGTATCTATTTGTCCCTCTCTTCGAGCCCAACCCGGCAAACGGGGGTTCCTAAAGATGACGATGAATTTCGACAGAAAAAAAGGGGAAAAGTGTTCCGTAGTATAGGAGGAGTGTAATTCAATAACAATTTACTAGTATAGTATCGATACGGAGTGTACGAGATGAACGAAAGTAACACCCGTACATTTTTATACTCGGTGGTATAATGTGAACTATGTAGTAGAAAACCGTTGAGCAAATGCTAATGCGAATGGAAACCCTTCGCTTGTCAATATCCAATGCTTGTGGATATCAAGGATTACCGCTGACCCGTCAGTGCGTGGCAGTTTGTAGAAGGGACTTGACAGTTGGGGTACGGGTAACATGACAACAGCCTGTTAAATTTCTCTGGATTAGCCCTAAAATTTAACCTTTTTTTTTTTTTTTCTCTGGCTCATGTATAATCGACACAACGCTTCTGAACAATCGTCGATAGAAGCTAGATACAAGAACACCTATAGCTATCCCACAAATAAAAACAATTCATTGTACCAATGCGATCACACCGCACATCATTGCGAGGTAGAACTGCTGTTTCTATCAACGCCAACGAGTCCTTCCTGAAAAGAAATCATTAGACATGATATGAAATACACGCCCACAGTCGAAAATATATATACACACACCCGCTCACACTACACGAATGCAGTCTAAATAAATACATCTCAGGTACATAAATCAACATTCATTTTAGACAATTGCGGTATACCACTTACTGGATGACGTTACACACAGGTTAAACAAGACAGGCAAAAGCTCAACAAAATCTCTAACGACATGTTAAACCAAAACACACACAAAATAGAAACGTCGTCTGCGGCGCGATCACAACTTCCAATAGATATTCGGATCGCGTTATTATAGGTTTGAAGATAGAGCCTGCAAGTATAGAAATCATTGCGAAGGAATCAACCGGAAAGCATTAGAATATTGTTGATTTGTTGACGCGAGCGACGTCCCCGTGCGCAATATTAAGTTGCGTCCTAAGATTGTTAAGCCCAAAATCGTCTGCATACCCTGGCCGCCATATGCTATACTGGAGGTGTTTTTGCTAGAAGTCGAGTACGGCTCGTTTTTAATGGCAAATATTTTTTACTACTGGACGTCAAGTCGACCGATTGGAGTCCTTCTGAGTGACAGAACGCTTCGGTCAGTGATGACAGTGTAAGGGATATGTGTCTTGTTAACCTGTGGTCACTCTGTAGAGGATCTTCACTCGGAATGACTTGCCGTCGATCATTTATGCACTACCACGAGATTCGCGCGGCTCGGCGGGAATCCAGACCCAAGTTAGTTCAGATATCTCCGTTGTGACCGCTACGACAAATTACAATGAATAAAGAAGCATAATGTTAAGCCATATATGTTCAATTGACAGACGACAGTTTTATTCGGTTAAGCTGCTGCTACTACTACGCGGGTCACGTACTGATGGACTGCCTGACCAACCGGCCGGCAGGCAGGTAGGCAGGCAGACAAAGATAGTTATGTCAGCAACAACAAAAGACAATGACGATAACGGCAACAGTGACATGATAATGACAACGGTGCAGCGGAGATAACATCCGTTCTTAATTAAATAGAAGCTAAATAAAAAAGGGAGAGAGAAAGGGAGCGAGAGCGAGAGCGAGAGCGAGCGACGAACGAGAGCGAGAGCGAGCGAGCGAAAGGAGAGCGAGAGCGAGAGTGTGTGTGTTTGTGTGTGTGTGTGTGTGTGTGTGTGTATGTGTGTGTGTCTGTGTGTGAGAGAGAGAGAGAGAGAGAGAGAACGCGCGAGACCGAGAGAGAGAAACTACGGAAAAGTAATGTTGAGCGTTTGTACTACTGAACTGAATACTTTATGAATTACTAATAAAAACAAACAATACTCATTCTAGAATCGATTGGTCTTTTTGTTTCTCGTTGAGTGTTGGACATCGTTGTTGAGTATCGCTAAGTCGTCTGGAGTAAGTTGAACCTTGAAACGGTGAAAGTTGCAAAAAGCTGAAAAATAACTGGGACTAAAAATAAAATCTACTCAACATGAAAGTTTCGTCGCCAACTTGACACCCTGTTCTATGAGAGCGATCATAGAGCGCTATGCTAAATGATCTTATGGCGTGCTAATTCGGTACGCGCATAGATCACGTAACGAGAATGTTGCTAAATTCAGCATATGAATATGTTTTTAAGATTTGGCTCTATTTCCTTTTTCAACACTCTGTCTCACGCTTTCATTTCTGTCTGCCACTGAATTTATTGTGGTCGAAAAATTTGCATCGTTTTGTTGTGCATCATTGAAATTTGCTTTTCGACCAAGCGACCCGACACTTCTTTTTCCTCACATTTAACTGTCATACACGTGGTATGATGTATTGGCTATGTGGTATGCTTTGAGTGTCTTATGCTGCAGAAACGAACATAGAAAGCACGGTACCTATAATTTCTTCCTATATGTTCCTATGTGTATGTACACACCAAGCAAAAGTAATTTTAATGGGACTTATTCCCGTGTTGGCCTGACGCTTTGCCTACTGCTAATGCTGTTCTATTGCCTTCACCAATGCGGACTGCACTAATCCTGGCATTTTCTTGCAGAATCTGATCAGTCAGTCAAGGCCCCGACGCGGCAGCTCGATGAGCTGTCTTTGACGAGGCAGGCATCTGCGGAGGCCATCGAAGACGACGCGGCTGACAAAAATGTTCTCGAAAGCCGGCAGGAAGCGCACGATCTTGAGCTGATGACCCAGCCTCCCATAGAAATCGTCACTCTCTCTTCGACAGTGGAACCCGTTGTTAGCCCAAGAAGTTCTGTGAGCGAAGTTTTTTCGGCGTCACAAGGAGGCCCTGTTGACCCTGCTAGGCCACAGGTTACCCATATGCGATGGATTCGTGATTTGCCTTTAAACGTACACACGTCCCAGTCTACCAGCAGCATAGACGAGATGCTGTTGATACTGGAAGTTCAATGTGTCCGCTATACGGAGTTACGCGATGGGAATACAAAGGCCTTCCGTTGCGAGGGTTGTCCTGCGAAATTTAGAAATAGATTTGAAGCGGCCATGCATGCGACGAGGCATCTCGAGCTGCCATGTCCTTGCGAACAATGCAAAGATTACGAATTATAGATGTTTCCTGGTTTTCGGCGAAGCTGTATTAGTAGAGAATATATCTTACATATATATACCTGTCTTGAATATAGTGTTAATCCATTAATGACCATCGATAGCGCCGACAGATCATCGCGCCTAAGATAAAATGAACGAGGTAGTCGCACGGAAAGTATTCAACGAGAAAGGACTTGTCGCAATCGCGCTTACTTTTGGGCCGCAGCTTTTGACAATTATATGATATTTTCAGAGCTCCATGCTCTTATCCATACTTGCCACATTTATACCTTATACTTCTAAGCACGATAACATACCCTCTGCTGATACGGATACGTTCCGCTCATTGGTATTGCGTAAAAACAGGCTCTGTTTTTTTATCATTGTGTGTGCAAAGTGAGATAATCCGGTCACCCTATATAAAAACAATACTGTCGAAATTTATTATCATTGTTAATGTGTAATGGATTGAAAGTCAAAGGAAATAAAGGGTGTTCTTTAATGGGTGTTGTAGATGTTTTAATTTTGCATGTATTAATTTAGCATTGTGTTTACATGATCAGTTATTCGAGCAAGGAATATTCTCGCTGGTTCAACCTGTGAGCGTATCCGGGTTCCACGTTATTTTGCAGCGTGTGCGACCATCCAAAGCTATGCTATTGAACAGCCAGTCTCCGTACAAATGATTGAGTATGATAGTACTCGTACTAGCACCTCGAATACAACTTTTGTCTTCGATCATCCAGTTCAAATATCTCGTACGGCACACCTTTGAAAGTGTTGATTTAGGCAAGCACTTTACAGGTCACAACACTTAGTAAAGCTTGGTGTAAATAATAATTGTTATTGTTGTTGTCTTTGGTGCCTTTTTGGTTAGGTATCTCCCCAGATAAGGCCTGTGATTTCTGTCGACGACACTGGCAATTTTAGGCATTAGAGAAAATCCTCCCTAATTTTTTTGCTGATCCCAACTGATATTTTTCGTGTTTTCCCCTGTGTGTGTGTTGTTTCATTTTTCGTTGTCATCATCGTGATGATTATGTTATTCTTCCTTCTCATCTTCATCATGTTCACCATCGGCAGCGGAAGCAGTTGTAGAGCTGCTGAACTCCGGTCTTTGGGTGGCAGGTAATGAGAGCCCGGTGGCGGCGGCAGCGGCGGCAGCCGGGAGCGGCAAGATCGTGACTCCACCAGCTTCAACGCTCGAATACTCGCAGCTTGTCGAGGACGGCAATGGTCGACGTTATTGGAAATGCAGCTGCTGCGATTTCACGACAAACTACAAGTTCTCGATGAAAAGGCATGAAAACGCGCATCTCGGCGTACGACCGTATCGGTGTCCATATTGCGCCTTCGCTTCCGTCGAGAAGACCAACGTCCCCCTGCACATTCGTACAAAACATCGCGATCTGCCCGTCACCGTCTTAACGGTCAACAATACGTCGGCCAATTTAGCTAGCAGTGCAAACAGCAGCAGCAGTAGTAGCAGCGGTAGCACAAACAGCGCGGGCACTACTACTACAAGCAATTCCAGTAGCGCCCATAACAACAGCGATCCGCCACAGATTAATACGATACACTGATGATCGATAGTTCCAGTTGATTAATTGATCAAGTCAATCAAGTTAAGAACCTACGTACCACAATTTACGAGTGCAACCGTCGAGTTGATTGTTACTGTTGTTGTTGTTGTTGTTGTTACAATGGTAGATCAATGAACTGATGATCTATGATGAACCGATTGACATAACTAATAATAACGAGAATAATGGCAACGCGATTACGTTTATTCAACCGATACATTGTGGCAGTCAACTAGAGCCCAGCCCCAACTTCCTGGCGCTAAATATCAGAAAACTCTTACCAGTAGCTCACTTCCTTTCCCCGGCGGCCACTTGTCTTGGCAATCATGCTATATATATATATATATATATATATATATATGAGAGAGAGAGTCGCAAGCAGCGCGTTGCATGATTCCCCTTTCATCATTCCATTGGTCAGACGCATTCGATTTGTGTTTAGTTTTTCATGAGTGAAATTTAAATGTTGTCAGTTTTCTTGACTGTAGTCTCGGATACTTTTCCCCTTTGCTATGACGAGCGTTTGTATATTGACCAATAGATAACGGTGAACAAATAATCCATTGAGGTGACAAAATGCTCTTCTGTAGAGGCGGACGTTCTGTGTTCTATCATTAGAAAGTGATTTAGAAACGTTGAGGATAAACTGCAATATTTATAATATCGCACTAACGAATATAAAATAGTTCGCCATGAGTGAATGATGACGATGATGTATGATGCCTTCAGAACACAGCATGTATTAGCGTTGGTGCCACTCCGTTTTCTTTTCGCTAAGCGGATGGGCAGGTGATGAAGCTGTAGGACAATGACGTCTGAGGGCCATACATGTCCTGCACATACGATACATGAACAGCCATAGAAATGCTCAGGTACTACTGTTCTAATTGGTCACTGCAAGAATTATATTCGCACCCTGATTTGCACATCGATGGACCTCCCTATACGAGTGTTTGAAATTTCAGCGCGTTGCCATAACGTGCGAATTTCGACTTTGGCAAATATATCGAAATTAAACACGTCTAGAACGATACCGGCTTTTGATGAAGTCATGCGCTCCCAACAAGCTTCCGTAATAACATGTTGAATAATGAGAGAAGGAGCGAAGTAGTGGTAGGGCTGTGATCTGCTATTGCTGGCACCGTTACTCTCAGACTCCTAAATCGACTCGTCATCCAGTTGTTGATCACACAGGTTGTTTTAGCCATAGCCACCATATTGATGATCATCTGATGCTGCAATATATACTTGAACGAATAATCCATACAAGACGTGAGAGTTCGGCACCTTGCGGGATGAAGTGCGACCTGAAAATATATATACATGAATATATATATATATATATACATATATATATATATATATATATACATATATATATATATATATATATACATATATAAAGAAGAGAATATATTGATTAAGCAAACATAACGAACACAGGCCTCCGAGTGAGGCGAACGATGGCCTTCGGAAAAATTTACACTAAGAGAAATATTTATAAAGGTAAAGAAAAACATAGGTGAAAGAAAATAGGCGACATAGTAGAAAAAAAGAAACTTTTGCGAGAACGTTCTACGAAGATATCATGATACGCGAATGGAAACAATTGTGTGGAACACACGGGATCGGAGGATCATACCAGACCATTTCGCTTTTTGCCGACACCACGTTCCGTTAGCTTGACTATAGGATTTTAAAGGGCAAATAGTGTATTTTTTCGAGGTGCCTGAGAAAACGGGTGTATCAATTGTGACACGAAGCGAATATGGGAAACCGAAATAGTAGTAGTAGTAGTAATGATCATGGCAATTAGACCCGGTGTGAAGATTCGATCATGTAGATCGATGCAATACTAATCCGTTATTATATTGTTATAACTATTATTGATATATTTACTGGTGTGGCAAAAGCTGCCTTATTGATTTATTATAATTCATTCATTTATTTATTTATTTATCGGTGCGGAAAAATAAATCAACGAGATGAGTTTTTTAAGGCTCTAGTGAACATGTATGTATGTATGTATGTATGAATGGCTAAACGCTAAATACTATCGGTATAATTATCATGTTTATTGGCAATGAGGTCAATAGGGCATTCTTGCCTTACGGTCTTTACACCCCCATATAAGTAAACAGGTAATTTATCTAAGAAATAATTTTTTTTTATATATGTTTAGCATGCATAGATTAACTTGTTAAAACTTACACAATGATCTTTGAAAAGTGCTCAGATTGTTGATTTACACGACTATGTAACTAGTCAATCGGTGGTAGTGTCAATCTGTGAAGCTATACAACTTCTCGCGGGCCAAATTACGGTAGCGAGGAAATTAATTTTGTCACAAATCAGCTGAAAACGCTCCCTTGAATTATACGCATTGGTTTTCATGGATAAATTACCTGTCAATGTTGTTCGCTGTCGTATTCAGAAGCTGTTATGTTATGCTAGTACGCAAAGGTCCTTTATAAAATGTTTGTGTGTCATCACTTCCATACTATTGGTATGGTTACCAACAATAGCCGGGAGGGAACTAACTGCGATATTCCTTTGCTTACCATGTTTTTCCGAGTAGAGCGATTGGCAGCGCAAAGCTTCGCGTTGTGTACACCGAAGGGTGCTAAAACTGGGATAATGCATCGATGCGTATAATTTTCAAATCTAAATATCTTCTTGTTGGTAGCTTCTCTATCTAATATAACTACAGAATGTACAGCTATCGACCCTTTGCCTAGGCTACCATTACTGATATGCTTTTGGATATGGATTATTGTCAGAAGTTAGAAAAACAGTATCAAAAACGATTACAGTGTGAGCAAAAGAGAGTGTACCGTGAACGAATTCTTCACTTTTATATCCGGTCTGAAAATGGCTGCTTCGTAGAAGTGGATCACGTACCGGGTGCGCGTTCAGCCGGTATGTACGTATGTGTGTGTGTGTGTGTGTGTGTGTATGTATGTTTGTTTGTTTTATTTGTTTATGCCGCACATAGCGATAACGATGGCATTGCGTTTTGATGTAATGAGTCAATCAGAGTTTACGCAGTGACGAGCAGTAACGCCTAGCATGTAGCCGTAATTACCTTAATTAACAACAACGTCGCCTACTACAAGAGATGCTTACGCGATTCATTATTTTAGATGCTATTAAACAGTGCAATCAACCAATATTATGTAATTTATATAGAGTAGTAAGTCGATGTTTGCCACAACTGACCGAGTCGTTGTCGACCAGACATGCTCGTGCGCAGAGGTTTTTCGTGGGAACGATCCCGTCGTCCCGTCGTAAGCCTCGAGTCATCTTGTTACTAGCATCTCGCTATCCGGAAGGGATTCTCCCTTAAGCGACTTCGGCGTTTGTCTTCTCGTAGCCGAGACCGTGTGAACTATTGGTGTTCAGTACGAAAGTATTCACGCTAAACGTTGCGAGGCTGTGAGGGGCTTGTGTGATACGACAGTGAAAAACAGCCCGCCGATCGGAGAGCGAAACGCAGACCGACAGTCATTTTTACCAACCAAATCTAGAAAAACAGAGCGAACAACGGGGTGGGGCGGTAGCCTCCCGATGACGACACAACACCGCAGAAGTTAGGGAAGAAAGCAGGTCTAGGTAGGGTTTGTGTATATTCCTCAGCATGAACACACGGCTGGTGTATAGTAATCTTTGATGGACAGATGTGAATAGAGAACTAGAAGGAGGGTCATGCAAACAAAGATATCGATAGCTTCCGCTACCGTTAAAAAGATGCGAGATGTAGTTGTTTTTATGACTGTTGTCTTTTTCTAACGTATGCATTGCAACTGATGGTGTTTGTTTGACTGGTACAGGTCCGTTTTTTTTTTTATTATTTCGGCCTGCTTAGCGATTATTAAATATCATCGACTAATGGCCAGCTCGTCCTCGCAGGAACAGCCGTTGCTGGGTTAACAAGTCAGCTGGGCCGAATCGAACGTGAAAGGAATGACCAATCTAACTATTACTGCACGTGCAGCAGCAATGTGACCGTACGGGACGACGCAACAAAATATATAGTAGCATGACGATAATAATGAGTAAATAAGCGATTGCAGAAAAAGAGACGGTTTCGATGTGTAACTATAGTATTGAACGATATTACATCTTAGTCAGGAAGAAGGATGAAGGGATGCCTCAGTGTGCGGAGCTCAGAGACAGTGCTCCAGGATTGTTCGGAGGAATACCATGGCCACATTGAGGTTTAATCAGATCCTCCAATTTCCTTTCTGTTTTCAGTCCGAAAACCCAGCAAATCTGAGTGTATAGAAAAGAGTACCGAGAGCTAGTCGCTATGATAATGTCACGAGAATGTATCACATCAGCGATTGATGTAATCTAATCAAGTTGAAGGTGGTATATATATTACAACAATGAAGAAATATGCATGAGTTGCCTTTACTATTATTCCATTGTTAAGTGCATTAACGATAGTTAGAAGGTAGATTATTGTTGAAAGGAAAATTGCGGCTTATGGTATCTACTCCATTCTGTAGTATTAATGACAGCCTAGTTTATAATCGGTCCGTGCTGGGACATAGGTTGGATCGTGTGAGAGCTACAAAGCTACCCAGGAATTATCACGATAATGAGAGCAATAACAATAAAAAAATAAGGTTACCAAATGGGTACACGGTGGGGCTTCTTCGGTCCGACGATGGCCTGCGGGGTAGGCGGACGTTGAAACAGGCCTCTGCTATGCTTCAGCGGCGCAGATGTGTTATTGGGGTTAGCTTACGATTGTTATTGTAAGACCTTCTATGAATGGAAGATTTGTTCCATTCATTGGCTATGGCACAGCCTAAAACTATGGCATTACGGTAGCTGTAGCGTTGCCAAGGTTAACAAGACGCAGCTGTTATTTCTTTGGATTCCCTTTTTTTTTTTACCTATACACGCCTATATAAATGTATTGATATATTTCAAAACGAATATGAGACAACGATGTTGAGTTATATTGCATACGAGTTATTTCAACTATAATTAATTATAATTTTAAAATGAGAGTTGTGAGATCCATACGACGAACCTATATGTTTAAACAATTATACTATAGTCAGATAATTAAAATGATGACCATCCTAATGATTATATTATTATACTTATTATTAGTACGATTACTTGCATAGCAGTTGAATCGAATGTTATTTTAAGTCTATGGTCAAGATATATGGTTATAATCATAGATCATTTTTAGTTCGCACGTCGTTATATATACATAATCATTGTTATTATTATTACTTGATAAGAATATCTTAATTATTGCTGGAAGACGGTCCGTGTGAGGATAAATCGAGTAAAAATCTGGAAAAAATATAGCGCTTTTGAGTTATTTTTGCTTGGCCCTTATTGGCGGCCCAGCAATGACGCAGCTAATTCTAATCGTCCATAAGTATTTTCCTTTGCAAAAATTACTCAAGAAGTCACTAGCCAACCATTGAAGATCGAAATGCCTACATGGGAAATGAGCGTCGAACCTAAACAATGGAGATTACAAAAAAAATTCATCCATGGGGGTGTTCTCAGTATCGACTCGAGAGACAAGAGGCGACTTTGAATCATTCTAATTTGCAGGTAATGCAGACCCTCGACTATACGCAAGAGCGCTGTCTAATTGATTGTAGTCATAATTGATTTGTTTGTCTGTCTGTCTGTCTGATTGGATATCTTTTCTCTATCTCGTCGAGTTTCGCTATGCAACGATGGCCGGTGCTTGTTGTTGTGGGAACGACATGTACACCGAGTAGAAAAACGCTACACGGGACACAAATTACTGAATAGATAAATTGCTATCACGTCATTATCTCGCTAATTTTATCTCGTTGCTAATACATGAAACATATGTTCATTAATATTATGAATGCTTGTTAGTACGATGAAATGGTGTAGGAGTAATGTTGCCGGGACCCGGGCGGGACGAGCTAGGCGACGCAGTATACGCCAAAGCCACCCCTCTAAGATTGTTTGACTTACGTAAGTTCTTGGTGTTTGAAAATGAGAACTTACGTGCGTCGTCGACATGTAGGTTCTAACTAGGGTTATAAAGCGAAACATGCAACTAGATTCAAGGACAAATTGGACTGGAATAGATGGGAAGGCTAAAAAACGACCGTCGGCGGAAAAAAAACACAAATAGCGGAGAGAAAAAGTGGGCCGGGGGGGGGGGCGGAGGGGGTAACAGCAAGGGATTAGAAATAGGTCAGTTTGCAAAACATAAAAACCTAAGAGCGCGATCGCAAGGGATCGCCAGGTAGATTATATACAATAGCGATGGGGGAGAGGAAGACGAAGACGAAGAGGGAAAGCGATACGAAGTAGTCTTACAAAGGAAAGCAGGTGAGCATAATGTGATTTTATGAAGGACGATCGACTGACCATTCCTCATACCACACCATGTAAATAGACAAATACTCAGTCTGCTATGAACGCTGCAGGATACTGACACTAATACGAAATGAAGCAAATGTGCGAGCGAGCGAGCGAAAAAGGTGATGATGATGATTATGACGATGACTGATTGATTATCTTTGATGAGGAGGGGATTGTAATGATGATAGTATACACAAAATTATTATGTAGAAAATTGTGACATGTGAAATAAACTGATGATAACAATGCAGTCAACTCAGGAGCACAAAGAGAGGCATAGTGTTTTTATTTGGATTATGAATAAATCGAATGTTTGTCTGGGTAGATACGTAATTAGCGTGATGGGAGACCAGCGATGGGAAAAACGGGAAATAATCTTGTACGAATAAGTCAAGCTACGGTTTTTCTGGCTAGTGAAAGGAACAACGATTTTGCGTCATCGGTAAGCTTGTTTGAATTGATACTAAGATGAAGTGGTCTTCTTACAGACGTGTCGAACCCCAACTACCGAATGCTGAAAACTTGCCAAGAAACTCATTCACGGAAGATTGCTTCATCAGGCGGAATAGCAGATGCTGGAAGAGTTTCTTCATCTGTCTTATAACTGCGTGCTCTAACACCGTTCGCCGAAATTGATCTAGTGCATATTTGCGTAAATTACGAGGGCACTGAACATACTCAGATTGTCATTTTGCTGAACCCAAATAAATAATTGTCTGTGTTGTAAATTCTCAATTAGCTGAGAGTCGTCAATATTTCGACCCATTCAAAGCATTTGTGTATATATTAATAATATCGATGTGTGACTGTGGATTCCCAAGTCGTACCCATTTTTGTCCAAGACTTGTCCATTGTTTATCGATACGTCATAACCTGAACTGCAAATGTCATAATAAAAGAGCATATCAAACATAGTGCTTCGATTTTTCCAAAGGAGAAACAAGAGATGAGTGCACAAGTAATTTTTCTTTCATTTGGTGACCGTATCTTTTTCTTGATATCAAGCCAATATTTGTAAACGTTTACTGGGCTGTGCCCACTTCTGTTGTGAGTTTAACAATACAATAAGCAAGATTCACAATAGAAAATGCAGGATCTCGAGGGAGTCCGCATGTGCAGTAACCTCCAGGTACTCGATAGTTCCTTTTCGTTAAGCCATTAGAATACGGGTGTCGTAATCGTGCTATTATATTGATTATTACGATCTTATCCTGAGTTAACCAATGTAAGGGTCGCTATTGGTTGCGCTATGCTGTGCACTGTGTATTGTTGTCTTTTGCACACGTCGTGTGCTCGGATGTGTTTGCAGACGAACGCGAGCCGGCGACCATTGCCCCTGTGACAGCGGCTACCGTCACGGTAAGTCACCGTCCACACCGGGGATCTAGTGGCGCAGACGAGTCGACGCATTTGGAGTCGAGGAACCCCCCGCCGATCAAGGTGATAGTGAAGAAAGCCAACATCAAGGTGACTCCAACAAAAATGCAGAGTACGACTCCAACTACGACCTCAATCACAACAGGCAGCTCTCGTTTAATCAGCCGACTCAGTCAAAAGCTACATCAGACATCATCGGTATCGCATGGCAATAATGTTCATTATGGCAGCAAAGTAAATCGGGACTTGGCGCAACGAGCTAAAGAGCTTGCCGCTTCTGGAAATTACGATGAGCTGATCTCGTCCCGCTATCGAAAGGACGCCGGCAAAATGCGACACCAATGCAAGATCTGTGGTTACGACTCGTTCCATAGGAACGCGATCATTCGTCATATGCGGACGCATACTGGCGAGACACCGTTCAAGTGTGGTTACTGCACCTATAGTTCGTCGCAAAAGGCCAACTTGATGCGACATCTGAAACAACACGCAGGTGGCCGTCAGGTCAGCCCAAAAGACGTTGTTCCCGTTGACGAAGGAGACGATATCGATGAGGACGAAGAATCAGAGTACTACCCTACGCAAAACCTCGTGCCGAATGCGTGAGAATGTATTATTACCTGGCGCATTAGAGATGTGCCAGGACGTCGACTTGGAGCGATACGACAACACGAAGACAACCGCAAGGAGCCTAATTATAAGTGCTCTGAAGGTCCTTTGATGCGGTTCCAAAAGTAGGACATTCTTCAAGACATTAAGAAGTAACAAGCTCCGAAGGACGGAATGGCTGCCCAGAGTGTGGTTTCCATAAGTGTATCAATGGTGCAATGAATGCCGGAAGTGCTTTTATTTTCTTAGCTTATTTGAATTTTTTATCTTATTTTTTCCTTGTGTTTTTATTCAATTTCACTGCAATCCCATTGATCGTAGGCGTTCCTATTTTATTCCTACGACAGTCAGCACATCCTAGCGATTTCCTATTTTGTATGGGAAATCAGCATTGTTGAAGTTGAATTATTCCATTGTTATGTCTTGAGTTCGTATGGTCTGATCAGTTCGGAAAGTGTGTATTTGCTTGGAGTTTTGTTGTATCCTATTTGAGGTCTCATTGGCCCTGCCATGTTCGCCCTGAATTAGGTTAACTTCCGTTACTCTGCATCTTTCGTTAGATGTGTGATGAAATCGGTGCATTTCTATTAAAACGTTGGTCTCACTATACATATACAATCCCACATGGAGCCGAGAGGTTGAAAGGTATGAACAAGAATCAACATTACGATGATAAAGTTATGACTGAAAAAAATACTCGTTTGTGCTTAGTGATGATAATGCGCTGGTGGTGCTTAGCGATGGTGCATGAAGACTGTGTGCAATTCAGGGTTCATTGGTGGATATCGCAGATGACTGAAAGTCGATAGAAATAGATCGATATAACTCCACAATCAACGCCAATGATGAAACTTCTAGGTAGCGGATAGATGGGCAAAGCCAAATTGATGTGCACTACGAACTACAATATCCGTATATTATTCTCACAATGGTTAGCTGAGAAATGTTTTGGCTAAAGTTAAATTTCCCCTCTATTCACAGTAAACCATATCTCGTAAACGTGTCTTGACGACCAAGTCATGACAACCGCAAACAGCCGTAGTGAGCCCAACAAATTCAGTTGTCTACTCGATACAGATTTGTCCATGCCCATCTACCAATAGATATGTGACAATGATGTTCTACAATCACTATACGTATCCCTTACGCCGCAAATCAATCAACCTCCAGGAACAATCATTCCGATGTCAATCATTATTCAGCCTATCAATGGTATCTCAACTGTCTCTCGGACGTTAGGGTATACGGGAAGCTAGAGCCAGGGTTGGTTACGGTTCCATTGGCGGATGGACAATCAATTGCTAGTAAACTATATTTCTTCGGTCAGGAACCTTAATATCGAGGGTTATGACCTCCAGAAGAAAGACTAAGCCCTCAGTCACCTCTAGGACTGCGAGGTTCGACTTGTCGCCACTGGCCGATCTCCGATGTTACCGTCTTTGATATTGCGGTGTCTCCTCATATACCGTCTTCCTCTCCGTCGCTGTGGTCCGAAGCCTTCCTCTAGCCCTCTATTCCCTAGACAACGTTGTGTGACTTATCTTGCGTTTACAGCCCTACCGCTACTACCATTAGTAGTAGGAACACGATTTTTTAGGCCTTATCATACGACGATTGTCCGGCCTAAGGGCATTTATAGGAGAAACAAGCCTCGTTACTATCTCCCAGAGAGATTCGTTCTTTACTATAGAATACTATATTATACATGATAAAAGTAAGGCAGACATGCAACATTGCGATTAGAACTATTGATAACGACGAAGATAATACGAAGTGCGCAAAAAAGACTGAAATTTCACTAGTAACGGCAAATACGTTACGTTTAATAGTTGTACGAATACGATTTATTTCTGAATAAGATTTTAGATGAACTCCTAGTGATATACATACGTGTGAGACCATTTTGAGACTTAGATAAGCTAGGTCTCACCAACAACGAGTATGCGTTATAGGTGCATTTACTTAATATATAATTGAGTTGTGATAGCAAATACGATCGAGCGGATTGTTGTAGGGCGCAACTGCTCGGCCGCACGCATACGATACAGTTTAACTGAACCATAGTAGCGGTGGACCTTGGTGAGCCTGCTAAAAGTAGACAAATTGACAAGGTAATATGCGTAAGAGACGATCTCAGGTTTGTTTAGGTTACTCTGGCAGCTTCGCTTAATCTCGGCTATCGTTCGTAGGAACACCCTAATAGAGGTGTCCGGAAATTTATGTGTGTAAAAAAGAATACTAGGATCTTTTCTGCCTATTGACTCTCGAAGGTACAGAACGAGAAAAAATAGTTCAATTTAAGCTTCTGTTTCGTTCCTTTTCAGCGCAGTAAGTTGTAAACCTCGTAGACTAATAACATCACTTAATTAGGTGACTATCATTATACTAATAACAGAATTAGTAGGCAGAAATATATTATGACAATATATATATATATATATATATATATATATATATATATATATAAATCGGTGGTTAGCTATGCTATATATACGCTGTAGACGGACAAGGATAACGAGAGAGAGTCCTACAGGTTATGATGTGACGCCAAATATTTACCGATGATCACCATTTTCTATCGCTGCCTATCGATAATGATGATCATTATCAATAGTTCAGTGGTAATTTTTACTATAGAGACGATAGGACTTAGACTGCAACTCTGGTCAGTGCATGACGGCTCACGGTACCAGAATGTTTTACCGAAATCTAGTCGGGAGCTACTCTTGCGCCCCCCGTCCCCCGTCCCCAGCTCCAGATGCAGGTCGTTCCCGCCGACCTACCCACTGAACCGTGTGAAGACAGCCAGGTTTTTTGAAATAAATTAGTTAAATAACTATTATACTCTACTAGTCGTATTCGATAAATGGTGCGCTATCTTAATTAGCATTTATCAGCTACAGTGAATGTGGTATGAATGTAGGTACGTGCCAATCAATCGTGAATTATATACATAAATGTATTGTATGTGCCGGTAATAGTAAGGTCATTTCAAACCGGGATGTGTATGGTGACGATCATAGTATATCACGAATAGACAGTCAGGATGCTGATAAAAATAACAATGGGATTGATAACAACAATGGAATAAAATATGCTTGTCACCTAGCTTATTATTAGAGCGGCTCGATGTTTTCACTGTTTAGTTCTTATTTGTTCGTGTCGGATTGAAACTGCGAAAATACAGTAGCGTTTTAGACGTGTCATTGAAGTTCTAAGAGGAAGTTGAAACTTTCGTCTGTGTTACGTTACGGTATCCCTGCTCCTGTGTTCTATTGCCTACCAAACTTCAAAAACGTTTTTCCGCCTATGGGTAATCTAATTGCCGCCTTGCCTTGTCAATCCGTCTAACCCTTCCAACGCTGCTTCGGGAGACAACAGCTTTTCCAAAGAATTTAGGAAATAGAAATCAAACTGTGCTTCTGCCTCGTAGACAGTCGTCTGCTAGCGAATCAACGCAAACTTAGCTTGAGAGTCTATTGTCTTCTGCTAACTCCTTTCATCTTTTGCTAGTGCTGCTGTTGTCCTTGCCACTGCCAATCAGCCAGGTTAGGCCTCACGACCTACCTTTAGTAGCGACGAATCGCCTACCGTGTAGTTTGCGCTGCAGATACGCTGTTCGACACGAGGAAAGAAGCACAGGTGGCACATACATCTAACATTTGTTTCTCATAGGCACAACGACACCGACGATGCCGACGTCCAGCGGTGGTACCAGCGGCGGTCCATCGGCGGCTACTGCTGCCACAGCGATCTTTGCCCTAGCTGCATCCCATGCCACTGCAGGGATTTTAGCAGCAGCTGGAGGTGCTAGTAGTGACAGCAATGTGAGCTGCGGTAACAGCAGCAGTGGTGGGAGCAATAGCAACGGAAGCAGAACTTCATCCCCAGCACCAGGCCATCCCAGCAGGTCACTAGGAGGTTCAGCAACCATCGGTCCACAACCGCCCCAACAGTTTCCCACTACAACAGTTGCGGCAACGGGTACGATTTCGAGTAACGTCATTCCATCTCTGTCGCTCGGAACAACAGCTGCGATAGGAGGGTGGAGCTTTGGATCGTACTGTGCAGGTGGAGGAACCGGTTATATTTCACCAGTTGCCACAGCTGCCGGAGGAATAGGAAACGTTATAGGTGTTGCGGGCTCTGCAGTGACTAACTCAATTCCTGGCACAATTAAGGGAATTCTTGAGTGGCGGACCTCGACACCGCCGGCGGCGGCTTCATCATCGAGCGCAGCCGCGATACTGCCGAGAATTGCTGCGTCGTCTCCGTCGATAGTCAAATCAGTCGGGAAGTTCAGCGGTCAGGGCATCGTTGGTGGAGCACCGCCGGGTCACCTGCGAGCGCATTTGCGTTCTCCGCATAATCCGGACATAAACTCGCCCTCGTCCACACCTTCGAGCAACGATCTAGCTGTTGCAGTAAATGCTAACTGGATAGCGGGAGGAGTTGGCGTCGGCCGTTCTATTGGTGCAGAGTATCCGACGGCCACTGGATACGGTGGAGCAATTAACCTGTCGACAACGGGCCCGTTAGCTGCTGTGAACGCAAACAGTTTAGTAGGACGCGGAGCGGCGACCTCTGCCATCTTAGGTACCGCCGTTCCAACGGTCAAGACGGCAATCGCCGGTGTCCTTGTCGGAGAGGCAAGCTGTCGGGGAACCAACGTTACGGCGATTGACTATTGTTCGTCAATTGTGCCTGGCGCAATTGGCGTAGTTACTGGGCACCAGCTTAAAGGCCATCAACAGACACATCTGCGCGATAGGCCGTATCGATGCGCCGAATGTGGTTATACTACTCCGCATCGAAATATACTTTATCAACACCAAAGTAGCGAGCATCCATCAGGCCAAGTTGACCAAATATCTCAGGATCAAGGGGCGAATGATTAGTGTGCTGCGTGAACTAGGACCTCTTTTAGGTCGAGCATAATCATCGAAAGAGGGCCAGCCAGATTTTTCAGCTGTGTTTTTCTTTCTTTCGGTGGTAGTTATAACTGAATGACCTAGTCGATGACTTTCCAAATTGAACTAAAGAAACGAGATGCCGTTTTCGGCACAAACTGTATATCTCTTGCTAGCGTCCTCTTACCTAGTAATTATCAATTTGTAGTAGAATGTACACGATTCTGTAAAGTGCTAAGTAAGCTATTCAATACAACGTTTTCTCAAGCAAGTTGCTAGAACGCATCCATAAATAAGTACGCGCACGAGTATCTGCCAGTGTAAGCCATTAAACATTGTCACTGAAGTTAACTTAAGTTGAAAATGGACGGGGCGATATTGGTGCTATTGATGTTTTCTGAGCTTGCTGCAATCTCGAGCCGCTCGAATACAAGAACGTCCACCGTAAGAGGCGTCGCGCCTCGCTATAAAATGGTTTTTATGATGAAACGTTTCGTGCACACTATTTTTTATGCACAAGATGGCCGCTGTTTTGTCATACCGAGTTAATCAAGAAAGCAGAATCTTTAACTGTTCATGCAAGAAAAAGCGCACGACAGTCTGAAAAGATTCTTTTCTTTATTTTAGTAATTATAGTAGAAAGAATTATAGTGCGTATTTAATATAAGAACAATAGTGGCTCGGTCAGTTTAACAAGCTGTTCAGGGAGAGAAAAAGAAGTTCTGTTCTCTGGCCCTAGCAAAGCTTAATCAAAGTGTTACCAAAATGTTTGCCCCATTTTGACTCTACCGTGAGCAGCGAACGGTCGTATATATCGTTAACGATAAGCAAACTGAATAAAGGGCATCCGGCATGCAATGAGTGGCCGAGCGAAGAAACAGAATGGTCCAGCAAGCTGAGCATTTTTCTTTACATTATGACCTCTTGATCGTACTTTTCCATTTGAGTAGTTTCTTTTTTGCCAAGGTTTTTTTTCTGCGGACTAGTAGAATGTGTTGGGCGACTACGCCCTGATTCGGGTTTTCGCGTTCGGGGTATTGTTATCTTTCAAGTTTCGCTCATCAGTCGACGATATTTTGTTCCTAGCCGCTGGCACAACGAACAGAGATACTGAAGGTCCATCTGATCGAGTTCCCTTCGTGTCGACTATCAACACAACATCAACATCAGCGCCCAAATAGCAGGAGCACAAAAACAGATAAGAAACAATTATTATTATTATTTTTTTTTACGGAACGAAAAGCAATAACTATGATAAGGTAATGCTTGTGACGTGATTGTGACAATACGAAGAGCGTTTCCATGTAATATCAATGTCATTTGTTATGTGTTACTATAATAACACATACTATAATAAAGTTGCCGAGTTTGATATTTTGTTTATTTTTTCGTTATTGTTTTATTTCATCCGATGCCATTGTCATCTAATCTTTTGTTGATTTTTTTTTGTTATGACTTTGTCATCGTTATCAAGATAGTGTACATTAATAAAGATTTAGGTTGCTTCTGGGCACACAAAAATGGTCAAGTCTTTATTTTTGGCTTGTCAAATGCTGTTAAATACTATTGTATAGTAAGCATTTGTTAAACAAAGTATACGTTACATATTATTTCGTTTGTTTTTTTCCCCTAATTTTCTGTGAATTTTTTCGTTTCCTGTCCTTCCTTCTAAACACCTTTGGCACCGCTACCATGACCTCCTTTATTTCGCTAGATGTTCGCATGCCGCCTCTTCTAACAGGAACCGTTTAGATATCTTGCACTTGCTCCTATTATCTAGTTTTCTATAGTGTGTTCATTATAGACAGTATTATTCTAGTCTCATGCACGCGGCACAGCAAAGGTCATCTAGAGCCGTCTTCTACAAGATCAATTAAATTGATTTGAGTTATTGTCGACTATGGGTACGTTTCTATGTACTTAGAACGCTAGTGCGAGTTGTAGTTTTGACGTCGGTCCCCGTTGCAGTGTTAAGCATAATGGATTGCTCCAGCTTCGGGTTACCTACTTCACCGAATGGACATCATCATCAGTCGGGACAGCAGGCCGCAAACTCCATACGAGTGAGTTTACCGAACTTCGGCCTCAGTGGCGGGGGTGCCGGGGGAGCTGGTGGAGGCAACGGCAATGGAAGTGGGAAAAGCTACAACCAAACGACGACGCCAGTTAAGTGCGAGTTCTGCAATTATGAGACGACCCATCGTGCCAATATGTACCGTCATAAGTAAGTAGCAACGGTGAACGTATGATTGCCATGTCGTTGTATCATTGTTCTGTCGTCGTAAAGGACAGACAGTGCTGTCTTCGTTTTGTTGTCCCTTTCGTTTTATTTTCAATAGACGTCGTGGTAGGTAGAATGATAACACTGTGTCATCGGTTTGACAAATAGAGTTTGCCCTTAAAGACAGACATTTGCTACTCGCTGTATGATAAAGACTCGCTGTGTGTGTCTTGATAATGCTTGCGAGAGAGGCAGCTCTGTATGGGCATGCAAGTAGCGGACGCGCGCTTAATAGCCAAGCTCAACCCCCCAGTGGCAGTGGTCGGGCAGCACTGAGGTAACCAACAACAACAACAACAACAACAACATCAGCACCAACACCAACACCAGCACCAACACCAACACCAGCACCAACACCAACACCAACAACAACACCAACACCAACAACATTCAGCAGCAGCAGCGGCGGCCCCTCACGACTGAGAGAGGAAAGGCGCTCTAGTAAAACGGGCGCTGGTGAGCGATCTAGTAAGCGACACGATATTTGATAACATCCTGTCGGTAACACTCGAACTGGTCGATGGCTTTTAGTTTAGAAATCGGTCGTGAACCTATTCTAATCTCGTTGTGTGCGATTTCAGGCGAACTCATTCCGGTGTTAAAAACTACGAATGCTCGGTATGCGGGGTAATGACAACACGTAGTGACAATCTTCGCCAGCATATGTTAGCAAAACATGGCTTTGTTGCGCCTCATATCTCGCACAGTGCGTCCGTAACGCCGGACATCATTCTGCCTGCAGCCACCGCACAACTCTTTAGCAATAATAATAACACCAAATAAGTTCTCGATTCTAAATAATAGACGTTATCAAGGAGTTGTCGAGATGCCGATCTAGTACTGCACATAAGCCGAGGCTCATATTCAACAGTGAAAATTCCCATAGACGCGCCTTTTTCTAGCCCGCGTATTCAGAGTAACGGTTGTGTTACGGCTACAGCAGTAGCTGGTTGGGAAAAAGACAGTAGAATCTGGAATTGTACCGACTGACGTCGACGAGGGTTTAGATATCTTTTCGATAAACCTAAGTTGTAACGCCCGTAACATATTTTACCTATTTGCATTTTCCCTGCGATCAGAGTTTGGCATGTGTTAAACGAGTCGTTTAGTACTGGCAGTAGCCAGTGAAAGGCAACGTGTCCTGTGCTGGGCATTTATTGGGTTCATGGGCAAGGACGGCCCTAATGAGCAGGCCGAAGAGGGAAAGACCTAATGTTTTCCATAAGTAATGTCGCTCTACGGATAAAAAGTTATCCGAACTGATAATCAATGGTATCTAAGAAATCGGCCGTCCGCCTCCGATGAGTGTCAACCTCGAATTTGTCGTCTTCCAAAGGTAAACCTCCGGACGGACTACAACAACTCAGACGAATCATGATAGCTAGTTAATAACCAAAATGAAGCTAAGAATTTCAGCCCTGCGAGGTGTGAGGCGACGATTCTCTTCGAGAACTCTTCGGCTATGACCTACGAAGAATTCTCATAGAAATGTTGGCTTTGATATATATGAATGAGTGAGATGAATCTCAAGTGGAAGAAGAAGAGAACAAGAGCAAGGCAACGACAACGATAAAGAATAGAGAAGTGTATACCTGTAAAACTTATATATAAATATATAAATACATAGACACAATTGATAAAAGTGCCGATCGGCTTGGAAGAACTGGTAAAAATACATGTGGTTTTCGTACGTATTAATGTTTGGCCTTCTATGGTATATTGCTGTATAAGTTGTTAACCGAACGTATCAAAGGGAGGGGGGCAATTAGTTATTCTCATACCACCAAAGTGCCATCGCTAAGCCTGCTAACAGGGGGGCTCAAGGTGGCATCCCATGTCATCACCAAATATAATGTATGTGTTGTTAACAACCAACTATCAAATACCAGATGGTAATTATTGTGCTCTTCAAGTGAACGTTAAATGATGACACTGATGCTGAGAGCGGTGCCCTAAAGAATAAATATGCTCCTATATATGAAAAAGGGTAAGTCACAAACTGGCTTTTTCGGCTGCAATAAAGATCAATAGTTATGAGCGGGAGATCGGCCTTCGTTTATAGTAGGACACCTTTATTGTTGAAAGGTTTGATCGGTAAGAACAAGCTCGAGATTCTTCGATGACAAACGCTTATGGATTTACCAGGACAGTAGATTGGTTTGAGAGGTACATTCAATTAAATTCATTAAGGTTACGCATCGTACGCTATAGCGATGCTACATTCATTAGTAGATCATGTAAATACCCATATATGCAATAGTTTTCTCAACGCTCAGCAATACTCAATAGACTTTAACAGGAGCTGTATACAGTGCTAGAATATATAACGGTATTGAAGCAGTCGGTACAAACGATGGTGACGCAAGCCCGCTATAGCGTCAAATTGCTGACGACAATAGGCTTCTGGCTATAATATCTGTTAGTTCACAAATATGAGTCGATTGTTCAGCGAATATATGGCTTCAAGTGTGCGAAAAAATTGCTATTACTTTGCTTAACGAAGTGGCGCATGTTGGATGGTGAGGTTTGTTTTCATTCGTGACGTCGAGCGATTGTACAGGAAGCAGAACGGACTCGTTGTCTGAAAAGTCGACGACGACGACGACGACGACGACGACGACGACGACGACGACGACGACGACGACGACGACGACGACGACGACGACGACGACGACGACGACGACGACGACGACGACGACGACGACGACGATGACGATGACGACGACGACGGCGACGGCGACGGCGACGGCCTAACCCAGTAACGAGTCATCAGCCAACGAGAGACTCTCTCTCTCTCTCATATGATCAAATCTAATGCAAGCGTTGCTGTGTTCACAAATTAACTCAAGCATCATATAGACATTGACGATTTTCTTTACGATTCAAGGTGCGTACGACCCATCATTCTCAATTGATTATTTAGCTACCGACCGCAACCGGTTCGAATGCTCGCGGTTCTATATATACATATATATGTTTTTTTTTCCTTTTAATGAAAACTGCCGTTTACAAGGTGAAGCAATAATTCGCACTGAAATAAAAGTCTACCTAGCCACATTTTTCGGTTTGTTTGACCATCAGACTACTAATACAACACGTATACGAAGACGAAATCAGCTCTACAAAAGACTATGGATACCCACCTCTTCTTAAACTAGCCAACGAAAGGCATTACGTCTTCTATAGTGCACAATGAAATGGGTCTAAGGCGGGTAGCATAGATCTATCTGCCCAGCTTAAATATCATACCGCAAATTCGTTTTGTTGTCGTGTTTGATTCGAATAACGGATGATTGTGTGATTTGAGGGGGTTTGTATGATACATGGCATTTATTCTCTAATTTCTCAGAATTTTCCTTTCCATTGCGTTGCAAATCAGCGTAGCGTAGCGCCGCTTTTTTTGTTCTCGTTAAGTGAAATGATATAAAACACACTTCGATTAAGCGTAATTTTCTGTTTGCTTAGCTTATGCCAAGAGCAGGGATCGAACAGTTATCATTGTTTAAATGTTCTTGATGAAGCAAATAGGCAAAAAAAAAACGAAGAAAAAAAAGGAAGGACCCAAATACTGGCCGAGCCACGGTAGAGGTCGGCAAGATAATCAGCACAGATTGACTGATCCGATTCGCAAACTTCTGCTGTGGCAGAACATTTTTCACGGCTTGTGAGGTTACTTTAACGGCAAGGACCTCATCGCGCCTACATAACCCCAATCGGGTTAAGAATAATGTGCTATTATCGTTTGTACTAATTCTCATTGAATTGTCTACAACAGAATTGAGGTTGCCAGCAATCTCCGCGTTCACTGCTGGTCTCCGTGCCGGTAAAGGTCATTTGAAGAGCGAGGAAAAAGACATTTAAATAAGCTAGGAAATGTAGTCAAAATAGGCAGATACTCGAATAATAATAATATACAATTGATCCCACAAAAGTGCAACTTAAGGCGATGTGATGCGAGAACAAATGAACAGGAGCAGACCCCAAAAAGGAATGAGTAAAGGGTATTAGCAAACAAAAAGGGGACAGAGTGTCTATACGTCATTGTGTTTGCGCACTTCCAGCTGTATGTAATGCAAAGCCAGTGAACAGTGATATCGATTTAAAACTTACCTTTTTCTGTTTGCTAGAAGCTTATTATGATTTCAATATACAATATATTAAATAAAGAACGATGAGGTGTAAAACTAAAACGGGTAGATTCCGTATCTTCCGGACTAGACGCCGCGGAAGATCTGTTGTTCTAGCTGGTGATGTGTTTGGCTGCCAATGGGGCAGCCGCAGACTCTCCGATATATACTCAATATATATATATATATATATATATAGATCTGTATGAACTTTATTATTATCGTCAGTTAAGGAAAGGTGGTTCTAAAAGAAGGCCTCCATCGTGTTTATGTATATTTCTAGTTATTATTATAAACGTAATGCCGAGGGCGACATGATGACCAACGATAGAAATGCTATATCGTAATCATATGATAAAAAAAACAAAGATGAAGTAATATTAGTTGATACCATCAAGACCAATGAGCAACTGCAAAAAACAAGATGCGAACAACTCATATATATATATATATATATATATGCATATATATATATGACGAAGCGAAAATATGGAAAAATAAATATGTCGCTATTTTGAGCTCGTGTTCTTATTTTTACCGAAATTACGTCGTATCAATATATCAATATAGAACTAATCACGAGTATATTCTAATCGATTGGGGTACCTTCTACGGCGTTCGTCGAATGGCCAACCAAACTTAGGCATTCCTATAATATCTACTTACACTAATAACAAAATAGTTCTCGATATTTTTGCATTTGTATCTTTTCGTATGCAACTATCAGACTGTCAAGTCCGTGGGGTTGGTAAAAATTCGTTCAACCTGATTTAACCGGTAGGTTTTTTCGACTAACCCATTTCTGTATGTTTTCAGTACAAAGCAGCTCGGAGCGTGCATCAAAGGAAATTAGTTTTTTCTTTTTTCCTAAAAACGATTTGGGTTGACGAGAGGCAGCCATTAGTAGTCAGCAGCGTTAAGGGAAACGTTGTATTTTCACGTATGTTTTTTACAATATCCCAGACTGACAAGATCGACTTTTTAGTCGGGAGATTCCAACAACACCCTACCCCTCTCCCCGTTCATAGTATTCCACTTTTGCTTCGAATCCAGCAGTGATGTAATTGACTTTGTACCTTATTCAGTGAGAACCCCTCAAACGGATTATTTTCCAAGTCCAGTTCTCTGTGAGTATCGCTTCCGAAAGGCCCGCTGCACGAACATGCTTCCTGTTTCAGCTATATTCATTTACGTTTATTTCCTTCATCTTGCCTTTGTTTCACCAACTTGTGCCTTATCATTCTAGTTTCAATTATAATACCAGTTGCACAGATCGGCAGAGCTATTCAGGCGGGTCATTAGAGCGATCAACGGACGATATCCATAGAAGCGAAAGTCTTAATCACGTACAGTGCAAGCAGATCAGATCAAACACGTTTTGCGTTACGCTCCTAGTTCGCTGCAGGACAACACTAACAACAACAACAACAACAACAACAGTCCTTAAACGCGGTCCTACCTGTACTATAATATGGGCTGTTTTACTCCTTCGATCGATCGGATAGCTCTTCCGAAACGATTTGGTGGTGGCATATTTCCTTGAATTTCCATCCTTGCTTTCAAATCGTGCATAGATCGTCAACAGAGTAGTCTTCTAACGGAACTTCGTTCCAGATTTCGCCGGCAACGGTGGGGGATCCGTTCGGTCTTCGACGCTGGCCGGTTCTACTCATCCCATAATGACGATGCCTTTGCGCGATTCCACTAGGATAATTCGAGTGCGTTCACCGCAACAAGCCCAACAAAAGCAAGAGGTACAACAGCAACACCAACTTGAAGTTCGGATGGGTTTGCTTGAAACTACCGCGCATCAGCCGACGCCCAGTATTGATGTGTTGGTTTCGACGTTAACTAGCGAGACGGAACTTTACCGCGCTTGGACAATGGCCAGTGGACGCAAGGTTAGCACAAAGGCCAAGATGTCAAATCAATAAGCACAAGTACCAAGTTTCGGATAGGGTAGTATGTATTAGATTATAGCAGTATTGATTTTTGCTTTTTCCATTTGCAGATGTTTAGCTGTCTGACGTGCACGTACACAACGTCTGACCGACGTACAATTGAACGTCATAAAATGGTTCATACAGGGGAGAAGCCATATGCGTGTACTGATTGTTCGTTCCGTACGTCGAGACGAGATACGCTTAACAATCATATCCGATGTCGGCATCCAGAAACATTCGGACTACTTCTGATGGCTCAACAGCAACAGCAGGACATCGGGAACAATGACTATGTCGAGTGAGTGGGTGAGAGCGGTAATAGAGTGCGAGAGATTTTGTACCACTTGTTCTTTAAACTATCTCATGATTTAAGTTATTCCCATTGATCACAACAAGAGCTTTTCGGAACTATTTCAGACTCATCCGAAGTGTGCACAGGCAGTATTGCCCGTCCGATGTTACAATTGCACCGCTTGATGCTTCTAGTTCGGCCATATCGAATGCAAGCCTTGAGTCTAATGCAGCAGGTAGCGACGTTGTCAATCCGTCGACAATAGGCCGTACGGTTCACCGGCTGCAAGATGACAGCGTCATCCAGATAGTACACGATCACGTGATTGCCTTAAATTCACGCGCAAGTTCGCTAAAAGAAGAAGCTCAGAAGTGCAATCCGGTCACCAACGTTGCCGATGAGACCGGCTTGGCAAACGTCCATAACCAACATACGGCTCAAATGTTTAAAGCCGAAAAAGACTAGTTCTTTGTATAACAAACGAGGCAAAATGACGTTGATATCGACGCTCGCGGTTAGCTTAACTGGACTGTAACACGTGACATCAATGACTCGACAGTGACGTGACGGGGGTCACGATTATAGTTCGGCGTTTTTTGTCACGCTTTCAGCGCTCTGTGCCCTCTGGGCAAAAATAAATGACAGAACTGTATAAAATAATTTAGGTAATAAGATACAGTGTTAGCATAACGTATGTTCATTAATAGCGTCTTACTCATGTACATACAGGGAGTACGACAGATGAAGGATATCGGAAATCGAAATCGTAGAACAATTAATTGAGAAGATAGATAGTTGAAGCTTGGTGATGTATGACGACAAGTGACCGTCCTACAACAAATCATAACCATTTATTGTCTATTGTATTTTTTTTTTTTTTTTTGTTTGTTAATCAAATTTACAAAAGCAGATCAGTAGCGAAAGGATTCGAATAAAGTAACGCAAGACAGACATTAGCCTCTCTCTATATATACAAGCAGGTATTCGTGTTGTTGTCCATGCTTACACATGCTAGTACACTACAAAAATTCAGGCAGGACGAAAAACATTTGTTCTTTACATTTATTAAATGTCTAGCCAAATTTTGGCTCGGGTTTGAGCCTGAACTTTTCCGCTTTTTCCGCTTAGAAGTGCTAGTTCCTGTCTCCATCATTTGATATGGATCGTCGATTTCAATCAGTTCACAGACATATCGCCTATTCCGCTGTGCATTTATCAAACGCTGAAAATATTTCATGTTGTGTGCCCAGTATTTAAACCGTTAAGCATTGCTGCAAACGGTCGGTTCCTATCACACGAAGCCAGCTGCGTCCACGCCCGAATTCGAACCTGACGACCGCCTATTCCAAAGCTTACCAAATAAACACAGGAACGTTTGTCTATTAAGCGTGGAGTAGTATATTTATTTATGTTTGTCGACGTTAACAAGCCCAAAGTTTCGAAATTGAGAATACGTAAAAAGGACTGCCTGCATGTAGATTTTTCTCTCTTTTTACATAATTGCTGTTCCCACTGAATATGAGAGGCTGACGACAGCAGACTATATGGCAGAATGGAATATATTTTTTTTGAATAGTCATTTTCGTTCAGCTGTAGCTTGAATGAGCAGTGCATGTGTGAATTTCCGCTTCGATTAATCCACGAAAAAATTACTTTTGGTACCGAATTTTTTAAGGTTTTTTTTCTATTTTCTCACATTAAAGTAAACACATAAATCATCCTTGTTACGAGACGGTTACGAGCGATAGTAACGTCAATAACATAACTGTTAAAAATAGGCTGAGGAAAAATACCAGTCAGGCCCGATTTGTCATTTCAATATATGTGAAGCTCTGTTCGTTAAAGTCGCCTTCGTCAAAACTTTAATGTTAAAGCTGCTTTTCAATACAATTTACCAGTGATGAAACAAGAGCGTAAGTGACCTTTCAGCAGCCCTTGTTGCTGTCAGCGTGGAAACATTTCGTTCTAAAGCTTTCTGCGCCCTGTGATTCAACAGATTATTAGACCAACTCAAGCTTTTGAAGAATTTCGTCTGCTACAAAACAGTTCTAGATAGGAGTCCAAATTTACCATTAATTTAGGTAAATTGTAACGCTTCGTTAGGATAGTAAATACTCATAACTAAGGTAATTTTTCGACGACAATATATCGTAAAAGATTTAAAAATCGGGAAATGAAGATGACACATACACTAGAGCCATCAGATCGCTTTCGTTTTCATCAACATAGTGGTTATAACGAACTAACTCTATTACGGAGCACGTTATTCTAGGCAACGGATGATTAGATAGTTCTAATCATTTCTGAGATGTTAACGAAATAAATCAACCCCCAATGGAAGTGTGCTTTCTATTAGATTGCCCTACTTCTGCACTGCTCTTCTTTTATATATATTATTAGCCGAACTCTAGGAAAATACGTCTAAGAAAATTTTGTAGAAAATCTATTTAATTTAGCTCAATATTAATAATAATAATAATAATAGATTAATAACATTTAATAACAACGCCAGTCTCCGTTTTACGGTGTATCAAGTACTGTTCTACTACTTATGTATATATAGAAGACTGTAATAGCAGAAAATGTTGTGCTTTCTATCATACTGAACGTTTTAGAAGAAAAACTCAACCATAATGATATGTGATCATGAGACGATTTTATCATGGCAGTGGCATATTACGCAAGCGAAGCCGAAATAAACGGTGGAAGTGCCACGTTCGATTGATATCAACAGTGTGAGATATTTTATAGATACATAGACTAATATCGGTAATTTTTTTATAATATATATTTTTTATACTATAATATAATATTGTATACATAGTACTAGTTTAACTAATGTATATGGGAGCGAAAAGAAAGCGTGCATACGGCGACCGTAACATTAACTAGAGCTAGTACTAATTCCGTTCTTTTCTTTTCAGCTGGACTCGGTAACACTTGAAGCGGAGCAGTCTCCTAAGACTAGCATGGTCAAAGGAATATTTAAGCAAGCTTGCCGAATCTTCAATTTAAGTGGAACTGTTATCTTAATTACGAATTCTATCTGGTCCATTCGTGGTGAAACACTTTCTCAATAAATGTATCGCTGTTATATGCCACAGACAGAACTCTTTGATACTCCTGTTTTCATGACATCGCCGTGAATACTCCGATGTGTGTGTTTATGAAAAACATAGAGTTGAACGCTTCTGATACATCGAATAGCTTTCCTCTGTGCAGATATTAACTGGCGCTTTGCATTTTGCAGTGACTTCGGAGTCTTTGCTATTTGACGTCGTATCAACTGGACATACGTCACCAGGGGTCACATTAACTTCATTTGAAAGGGCTCTATCAAGACCTGGTCGGCCCAGGGGGATATCCCCTTCTTCATCGACGGGGGTACCTGGCCGGCATCCAAGTAATCGCCTATGCCCACTCTGTGACAAGGTGCCGTAAGCGACATCTTCAAAGAAATCTAATACGCAATGTCTTCTTGGTCCAATCCATTCTCGGCTCAGACGACAGCGTGAATTAAAATTGCGATATCTCGCCAATAGGTTTAGCTCTTCAGATAACACCGTTATGTTCTCTGCCTTTCGATTTGTTAAATCCCGAATCTAATATCAGCGTTGTAATGTCTGTGGGGCTGCTTGCAGGTGTTTCCCCTGAAGCGGGACCTCGAGCGTCACATGGTCAAGCATACTGGTCTAAAGCCGTATCCATGTCCGTACTGCCCGTTCCGCACAACCCGCCGTGAGCACGTGTCGAACCACGTTAAAAACAAACATCTCGACCTCTATATCGACTACATCGAGGTCGCTCGCTTGCGCAAACAGCGCTATCTTTCGACGCTCACCAGTTTGCGCACTCCGGGGGTTGACTCATTCGATGAGGAGTTGCTAGATATGAATGCGCCTACACACGAGGATTCCGCGACAACGATTGACGCCGAAGGTGGACGACATTTTAACAACATATCTCCGCATTTAAATATCAATCGTCGTGACTCATCTGCAACGTCTGATAACAATGGACACATTTTTCCTTAAAGTGATGATGCTGGGAACAGGTGCAAGGACAATGATAAGGTGGAGTAACATCGTGTAATCAGTGCAGTGATGTTGAAGAACTAGCATAATTTGACCTTCTCAAAGAGAGGCAAATCAGGAAGAGCAATCGGAGAGCGAATGAAAAAAGATACGGATCTGGCCAACGGGGTTGCCATTTGGTAACCCGTGGACATTTGACAGGTTGCCATAACACGTCGGATCCACAAGTCGATAAGCGTTACGTACCCCGACGCGTTGTTTGCTACTGGTTCTTTGTGTTTTTAGGCCTGTTTAAAGTAGGATATTTTAGTAGCAAGAGGCCTAAAAAAGGCACAACCAGCACAAGATATTGCTGCAGCGTAGCCGTTAACAAACAAGAAAAGCTTTCGGTGTCCAGTTTGCCTCCCCAATTTCTTTTTCAATTACTATATGAGATAGGCACATAAAACAAGAATAATACGTGAAACAAATGGGTATGTAGTTGTTAATTATTATCATTACTATAAGTAATATGATGACTAAGCACGGGCAATCTTATATTTCTCCCTAGCTCATGTCCCGCTAAGTCGATTTGCTCAATTTCGATAAAAATAATAACAGTATAATGATAGTCACTTGTAAATGGAAACTATCCACAAGAAGAAAAAGATTCGAAATATCACAACAGGAATAGAGTCGCAGATGGAGGTCGGGCGCACCCCGTGTACAAGGACTGCCATTAATTGACTTCAAGTAAACACAAATACTTGAATAACGAGAAAGGTATGGTAAAAGTTAGAAGCACTAATTCATGTTTCGGCATTTTCTTTCGGCGTATCCATCTGTTACAAATCGATTTTCGACGCAGTGTATGGAAGTGTGTGTATAACGGGTGTCCTCAATCGACAGGACCATGGTAGAGCATCAGAAAATTCGATCGAACTTACTGTCATTGACCATAATGAAGTGGGAGCATTACGATGCTAAAGAACAACACATTTTCTATGCGAAGAAGGATAAACGGCAGATTCTGGCGTATGTAGTTAACGCAACGTTTGATGGAGACTCGTTGCCGCATCATGCGTGCCATATATGTAGTTGAGACAAGCGTTTCGTGATATAGAAATAAAGGAATCTGAGGAGATTTCCAATGATCAAAAGCTCTGAGGGTCGCTTCAGTATGATTCGTATAAACGTTCTGAGCACGAGCGATAACGACTTGCCCCCGTAGGGCACGTACAGCGTATGCTAGAAGATCCTAATTCTTGATGGACTATGGTCACTATTATAACAATTTTACTATTACAATCTCTGTCATTTCCACCAAACGTATTCCTCAAACAAGATACAATGGTATCAGATAGACGTTTTCTTGTGCCGAAACACTGTAGATTTGTTTTGCACCAGTATATCTAGCTGATGAACTTATGCGGACAATCAAGAGCTATTCGCTTCGGCAGAAACCGCGGCAACGATATTTTTATCGATTGAACAGATTGGAAGAGGCTGAAGAGGATGGAAGTGCGAATGCGTGTGTGGCTGAGGGAAATGTCGAGAAACTTCAAGTTAGAAAAGTGTGTGGCCAATAGCTCATTGTGGATATTTGCGAGGTGCTTTGCTATTAGTTAGGTGTGGGTCTGGGTGTGTATACCATCGTTAGTGTGCAATGCGAAATGGGCTTTCTTAAACTAAACTGAGGTCTAATTATTGACCCACAAGTCAATCGTAGTTAGTTGTGGTGTTTGATTTGTGTTTTTAGTTTCTGCATATATTATTTGGTTAAATGAGACAATGTATTATCGTTACCAATTAGTCTTGTTACATGCAAGGCCTATTACAGTATTTGAGGCATTCCTATTTCTGTGGTTATAATGATATGAGATATTAACAGTATTTCGTTTAGGTTGACGGTCATTAACGTTTTGGTTTTTTTTTTTTTTGTATATTATTTTTACATAGTAGGCGGCTAAACATCTGAGGGGCGTTGGGACTTAACGACAGTTGTCCTAAAGAATACGGCTGTACGTCATGGTCCGCGGTATTTCCACTTTTTTAGTAACGAACACACATTATATATATTATAAACTATATAAAATAAAAAATGTATCAAATATATGTATATGTATAAAACTAGGCCATTACCGTTACGACGAAAGGTGAACCCATGTCAGTCAGTCAGTCAGTCAGTCAGTCAGTTATCACTACTAATACGTATGGAAAATCATTATTATCTGAAGATAAAAATCTATAGGTGCCATATATATATACAATAGATAACAACAGCTGTCTCTCTTCACATTCTGCGATACCATGTTACAGGATAATGATAGATAATCACCATCACTATTCCTAATATATTTACCACAACTTAATAATACCGGCAAAATCTTAAGATCACAAATGCATAGTCAACACACATATACATAAGCATACATACATACATATATACACACGAGAGATACATAGGGGAACAGGTAATATCGCTCCGCTTCGATAAGAAATGTTCTACATACATATATATATGAATATAATACACATAGTATTACTATGGATTGTTAAAACAAAGCTCATTTTTGGTGATAGCAGACAACAATCAACACCGTATTGTTGTTGTTAGAGGAAGGAGACGTGATCGTACTGACGGCTCGCTGGAAAAAAAAATGGCGCCGACTTCGGCCTCGTTGTTAAAACCATAGTTATCATTATTATAGAATATAGTAGAAATACACATTCAAATACTGAGGATATATTCATCTTGTTACCTGTCTGTTAAGATAAAACATCCATTATATATACATACAGAGTATATAAAGTCATTATTGCTATAATTGTATTGTTATTACTGATGAACTAGAGCATATATACACGCTAATTGAAATGCATTATATAAATCGTCATGATATCGGATATGGTCACTGTCATTTAATGGACATGTCCTGTGGTCATTGAAGTAACGTGCCTGCTTGTGTGGTCGTCTATGATTGCCGGAACATTTACTCCCTCGGTTTGTTTCTGTCGAGATATACACATGTACATGTGCGACAAGAACATAAGCAAAAACCCTAGATGCATAAATCTAACAGGGGTGCAGAGCTTGAAACAGAGAATTTCAATAAATTCGAACCACCCATTATATGTCATAGCATCATAACGACCTTGCCCTTATACCAAAAAACAGCAAGGAATTGACCAAAGAAAGACCAGCAACTAATTAATTGATCGGAATTATATAACTTTTATTTTGGATTTGTGCTCATCTATCTTCTTTAGATAAACTCTCTCTAATGAGATCGTCATTTTGTATCACCTTTTACTGTATCACGTCTACCGTCACGATACTTTTCTCGTAAAGAACAACATCATACACTGGTACCTATCCTACGACAAATAGAGGATTGACTTGAATTTAATTGAAGTGTGCGTGTGATGTCTTGTGAGGATAGTAACAAACTGAAAATATTCACAGTGAGGTTGTGTGATCAATCGAGCGAGTGATAATTAAATACTATAACGAATCACTATATATATATATATATATATATATACATATATATATATATATACACATTGTTAGAAGGCTGAATAAAAGAGAGTGATTTCTAATTATTAAGTATATATATACTTGTTTATTGTTAAGGTTATCAATGCATTTCACAATGCCCACGACGTCACTACTGAAATTAAATCCTAACAATAAATAAGGATTCGCTTCAGGGAAGGAAGACTAAGAGATTATCGTACATCCCCCCTTGACCCACAACTACTATCGCGTCTGTAACAAAGTTTATCAATTCCATATCATACACAGTTATAGTAAAGATAGCATATTGATAATATGATTTTTGACTGAATCAGTGCTATATATATATATATATATATATAGCTAGGCATTCATGAAAGTATGGTGTGAACACCCCTTGAATCAAATTTGGTCTCTGAGAGAGAAGGCAGCGCGAAGTTATCGTTATTATTGAATCCGAAATTAGATGTGTGCTAAAAGAGGAAAAAAAATGAATGAAGAAACGAACTTCACACAGAATCGATAGTTTGATGCGTCTAGTTACGACTGGTAAAAATGTTTTCAAGTACGCCTACTAAGTACTTCGAAAGCATTTAACTTGCTTGTTTTTGTACTAAACAAAGAAAATTATTGTTTTTCAGTAACAAATGATGACGATGATGATAAAACGATAGCATCAACCGGCTTTTCCAGTACTTCAAGCAGCTGTTCGGCATTGCTCTGTTTCTGGAGTTTCGCTACTTGAAGTGCTGTCTTCTAACTGGAATAATGTATTCTTCTAGATAGAGAATATTTATATGTGTGAAAAGAGAAACACTGTTTATGTGTAATAAACAGTAGATAAAAGTGCTAACTGATCATTGATTCATACCACTGTAGTTATTGGAGTCTGTCATTACCTTTCTTACGGCGCTTTTCTGCTGTTAGTCGGTATCGACGAAAGTAATGGCAGCTACACAAAATCACGACGGACCCAGAATATGGCACAATGAGATGGTCCTGTACAGATCATTAATTCAACAGCTGGGTTACATACTAGATAGAGGACGACGAACGGATGTTAGGTTTTGTTTGTCTGTCCGTCATTGACAAGAAAAAGAATTCAAAATTGTCGTCAGGATGTCAAAACAAATTGGAGGATAAACATACAAAGAGCAACCAATGCTAGCCCGTTTTAGAGTAGTTACGGCGAGTGTACATGCGCATAGAACAGATTGTATATGGTCGTCGTTCATAACATAGCTATGAAAGTATTTCAATTGTATGTTGGCATTACGGTGTTTCAAAGGTGACCAATGAACAATTTGGTGGTTGATAGTATACATGATCGATCGCTGCTCCAAAAGGTGATACGGATCATACTAAAGAATGCCGAAAGACGAATATACAGAAAGATACCATAATAAATATTTTTCTTTGCGGAAAAAATAATTGATCGGCAATTTTCTATCATCATATGCCCTAGCTGCTAGAGGGGTAGGTTTTTCGTTATGGGGGCATTGAAGGGTGTCAAGTTGCCACATGCCGTTCTGAATCCTTTGCACTGTTATCGTTACGTGGGTGCCAGTCTTGGATGCACGTTCGACTTCTCTATATTGGTTTAGATAAGATGTCTGACCATTGTTACGTCGTGTCTGCCAGTAAGAAATTGTGGTGAAAATGATGCATTTTCCTGTGTTGTGAATGTTTTCCGTTGCAGTAACTGTGTCGTGCTGTTTCCAACGCTTTGCTGCAACGTACGCTTAGGCTCTTCTATGATAAGGCACAAGCAGTCGATGGAGCGGCAACGCTGAACTGGCCAAGAGAGATACCAGCTGTCCTAGTTATACTTTGCCTTATGCCATCCACCTAACTCCTGCTTGCGTAATAGCAGCCCTTCATGAAGAGCCCAACCTTTTCCTATTATCAGTGTCCCATGCTTGCATAACCGATCATCCCTAATACGATTCGACTGTTAGCGTATTTTTTCGTGTGCGCATGCAGCCTTCATCCAATAGGTAGGATTAACCGAAATTGAGCGAAGTTAATCGCCTGCGTTAAGTTTGTTTGCAAATCTCGTTCTGCCTTTCGCCGTATGTGCATCCGTGTGTGTGTTCTCTTTGTATGTTGTGCCGCGTTGTCACTTTCAGGTATGGACTCAACAGGCCAAGCTGAATACCCCTGCAGGTACGCCGCCGACACTTTCGATGCTACATTGCAGTACCATAAAGCTGCTAATTCGAGAAGCGTAGACGTTGGCGGTGCAGCCGAAGGGGATAGTGCATGTCCTGGCACACTTACCGGGACTTCATCGATCACCGGTGATTTCGAGATGCTCAAACTAGGCTTATGGCAGCACCTGCAGCGGTCTACTCTTTGGAGTCTTTCACAAAAGTTTTCAGCGGAACTGGCTGCACTTGCAACTGCAACGTCATCATCAGCATCGTCGTCGTCGTCGTCATCCGCAAATCCGCTGTCGAAAACGTTTCCTTCGTCCTTGTCAGAGTTTCTAGCAGCAGGATCTGCCGCTAGTGGCTTCACCTCAATTACTCCGTTGTTGTCGGATGTGACTTTGCCATTTTCAGCGCCTACCGTTGGATGTGAGTCCGGTCCGTTTGATCTGGCAACATCAAACTCATTTGGCATAACGAGTCCGCAGTTTGAGCCCGCCGCCTTTCTTGGCAATTCTGGAGTCTTATCATCGACTCCGAGTTCGAATAGCGGCACTCTCGTACAGCGCGATCTGGATTCAGTAGGAGCTACCGATTTGAGCACGGGCGGTAGCAACAGCAATAGTCAGTCCAGTGTCCGCTCATCCTTTGTGTCAGCATCAACAAACAAATCCGCTGCAAATGCCCCCGATAGAACCCGTCCCTCTACGGTGGACGGCACCACCTCTGCGGCGGCAGGTGTTGGAACCGGGTCGTCGACTGCCTCGAGCACACCTGGCGGTGGAAACGTTTCAATGAGTCTCACGTGCTACAATTGCGGCCTCGGACCGACGACGCGCAAGAATTTAGCGCGTCACATTCGCTCGTGCCTCGGTTATCGGCCGTACCACTGTCCGCTTTGTCCTTACGCCGCATCACGGCGAGATAACCTTCGGCGACACCTCGCAATCCACAAGGATATGCCGCTTCTCGAAACGGCGGCTGCGCTTGCCGGAAACGCTATGCGTGGCACCAGCGAAGAGACCAACCCACAATAGCATCAGCAATAGGACGAAGTCTGCCGCGCACGCTGTCGCTACCTCGACAAGAGCAGTGTAGGGTACTGATATATTGCCCGTTACCCAGCGCGAATACGAATAAAAGTAGCAACGTGAGACAGTCTGATAACGATCATAGGCGATACCTAAGCTCTGGCTGTAATGAACGAGGACGCACACGATGACAGATGTGAGAAACAAAGTGATGTCTTTATACTGCGAAATGATTGATGGCAGGAATACACAACTTCCAGGAGCAGTTTTCGATACTATAAGACCGGCCGATGGCTGTATGTCTGGCTACGAGAATGATACCAATACATATAGAGGAAAAAGTCTGTGTTAAAAGGGATTTATTAGAAACGGGATTCCTTTTGATCTCTTACGGCGTTTCCGACCGCTCACTAGTCAGCAACAAAGTTAAAAGTGATATTTACCCACTGAAGCTCAACCCCGTGAAACTGAAATGAATAAATGTATTTATAATGTAATTGATGTCGAAAAAAAGCGCGTATATCGTGTTTTTATTTATAAGAGGTAGATAAATTTTAGCAGAGACAAATCCTGTTCCGGATTACAGGATCGTTCATGTAGTCTGGCAATGTTTTGAATTCGATTATACATTTACGGTTAGACCGTGAACGAACAGCTTCTGACAGGTATCTTCTTTGTTTCAGACACGTCCGCTAATCACAGATCATCCTTGTTCCTGTTAACGCCGATCGTCGATTTACTTTGTATCACTCAGTTATCTGTTCACCTGATTTGTTCCCACTTTTCGTCCCGCTGCCTCCGTACGCATGAATCGTCACCCCATAATTAGTACTATTGCCTATAAACTAATCAACAATCGAATATGAATCCCGCTTTGCCTGACCAACATCTGCTTCAGTACACCTGTACAACGTATTCCCACCGATATACTGCAAAGGCTGCAAAGATCTGCTTAGATGTTGATGTCCGCAGTTACTGAAGGTCGTCTGCTACACATAGAATAACTATTACTGTGATTTACCGTTTCTATGTGTTTGGCGCTCCCATTGAAAGTGTTTAATATGCTTCTCCTATGTTTACAGGCTACTTGTTCTTTTGCCAACTACGCTTTAATATATTTGATGGATAATAAAACTATTTTGTTGATTTTGGTGTTTGTTTGTTGCTGTTATTGTTTTAATGTATTACTATGTACTGCATGTGTGCTTGTTTTTTTTTACCTTAAATATCTTTTCCTTCTCTTAACTTGCTCTATTCGCATTTTTTAGTTCAAAGTATTTAGTAATGTCTATGATATAATCGTATAACAGATTTTTGTTGGCCTTTTATTGTCAAAACCAAACTACATCCAGAATTGGTCCTGAAGTGTCTCATGAATGTCTGATTCTGTGTGGGCCTATTGTTTTCGATGCACTTGCATTTTACCGCACATATCGAAATTTGCGAGGCACTTGATCCCACAAACGGAATTAAACATTCTGGTTTTGTCCTTCTATTTATAATTTCAACGGCATGATTTATTTCTTAGCTCAGTCACTATTTGCTGCTACCGCTCACCGCTATAACGATAACACCGCCACCCTTCCCTCCTGCCCCACACACCTCCGATTGTACTATATGGCTCTAGCATGCCTATGTATGCGGCATGGTCCTTCCGCTTTTTGCATTCCCACCTCAGCACTCTCAAGCACGAAAGCGCACTAACCGAAGATATTATCCGCTTTGTTTTCATGAACCTGTGGTCACCCTGTTGCACTGTTACTTCGATAATCTCTTCGGATGTTATCGTTGTCACTAATCGTTATCGGGTGGGCCGTTCTTCCTCCCTCGGTGTACGCTGTCCCCGTGATGATATCGTGAATTTTGTGTGCGAATCTCACTTCAGCATGCGTCCGCGCAGATCTCATCGTACCAGTGAGCAGAGCTAGCAACACCGTTAACAACAATTTAGCCTCAGCAGCGGTTGCAACGTTCAACCCCTCTACGAGTACAAGCACGAATCTTACCAGTGCTATGAACACCTCCGGAACCTTGTCTGTGGGTGCGATGGGCGCCCCCGGCTTGTCCAACTATATCTCATGTAATGGTTACGATCGCTTAATCTTAGCAGATGCGGAAGGCAACAACCGGTGCCTCGTATGTAACTACACCGTCAAACACCGTCGCAACATTTATCGGCATATTTTGACGCACACTGGCGATAAGCCCTTCCAGTGCGAACTGTGCAGTTTTAGGAGCTCGAGAAGCGATAAACTAAAGCATCACGTGAAAACAAAACACTTCCAGGAGTGCGCAGGAGGCACCCCAGGGGCAGCGGCGCCAATCGATAGAAGCGCCGTACCGGTGGGCGGCGTGCAGGAGCAGCTCGGACTTTCTGGCCTAGCCGGAATTGGCAACCTCGCAGGTCTCAGCGGGCTTCTTCCTGGCGTCAACAATGAGAATATCCCGTGCGGAGAAAGCAATAATAATAATAATAATAGCCAGAACAATAATAATAATAACTCTATACAGATTTTACCTATTGATTAGAAGACGAATGGTACAGAATAATGAGCACCACTACGACGAAGGTGTTAAACATTTCAGACATTACGGTAGCTTAAACAACAGGTATATAGGCTATAAGCAAGCCTCTCATGTGCAACGTTGCGCCACGAGTCCTCTATGCGCTCACACGATACATTTATATTAACACTGATGCATATAAATGATTTCCCTTGAACACACGACGCACCAAATTTCGCGCTAGCTAATGACAACGGTTATAATTTTTGGCAGGATAAAGCAAATTTCCTGCCGATATGTTCAGACGTCTCGTATGTGCAACCCGTTAAATATAAGGCTCAATTAAACGATGTTATTTCAATTAATTTACAAAAAAAAAAAATTATCAACACGACATGTCTGAACATCTAAAGGATGTAAGATGTACCATTCATTCACTATTGGATAGTATTAGTGAAGTTCATGCTTCATAGTACGGCACCTCATCGCATAGTTACAGGGACTTACCGCAATTCTATGAAAATGGATGATCTCATCTCTTTTGTTGTTATATTCCTTCAAAAACTGTTTATGATCACGGTCTATCGTTGACTCACTGCTATAGTATAGTTTTAGGGTTGACGATGCTACCTCTACGTACTAAGACTCGCTAACTGGAATATTAATCTGATCGGTATCGCGTTTCTGTAAAATGTGTGTATTAGTCAACTAAAAATTGAGCGTATCTATAGCGAGTCATTGCACCGAAGAAGCCGTTCGTAAAGCAAAGGCCGGCCAGCACGTTAATTGAAGGACGTACGATTACGCTCAACGACAATTCCCCTAGGACAATCTCCTTGATCTCATTGTCACTCGTTACCTAAATGGAACTACGTGCTGAGCCTGGTTAGTGTGTTCATGCTAACTGTCTATTGCTACATGTTTATGATATGATCCAGCGGCTACTACTACCAAATATATTTAGGTTCGTACGGAACCTTTAGAAAAAAAAGTTCCTCTCGCACTGAAGTTTTGTTTTGTACTCTGCCTTAATGGGCCACCGTACAAAAATAAGCGTACAGCTTCAGAGTATTTTTCGGTTAATTGTTTCTTCGTATCTTTCAGCCTTGAATAGGGTTCGGATGCCCGTGGAAAAGAAGCCAAAATGAGTTGAAAACATTTTTAACCCTTTACATAGGTACAGCAACATCAAAAGTTGATGCAATGATCTCAGCCACTCAGCGCAGCGATGTAGGCCATGTTATGTCACGGAAAGAAGAGCAGTTTTAACTTAACGGATAACTTAGTCGGCCTTTGGGTCACATATTCTCGAGTTACATATATCCTAACAGACTGTGTGGCCTCGACAAACGACGTATTGTCAACATTTATATATATATATATATATATACATATATATATATATATGAGTTCGAAAGACTAAGATTTATGAGAAGGTGACATTTACGAAGCAATTTTATTGTGCCAAATGATTCATTGTGTACAACGTTTCTATGACTATATGTGGACATAGAACCCGTCAGCACTATTCAGGGTACACTTACTATATATGCAGCATCAGAAAGTAGAATTGTACGGGTTTATATATATATATATAAAGTTCGTGGACCTGACTGTGCCTCAGGAGGAGCCTAACAAGCCGGCCACCTGTAGTTTGCGATACGTGTTATTTCCAATGGACGAACTGTATTTATAGGCATGTATATGTATTGTCAATAAAAGGCGAGCAGCACAACCGCATTGTCACCTAATATCTCATTTTTACCATAATAATTTTATATATTTCATAAAAACACGCTTAGGAAAAAGCGGATAAAGATTCAGAGTAAATATCTGTAATGTAGTTGACGATATATATATAGGTGGTAAGTAAGTAAGTAAGGAAGATAATTTTCCTATGTTTTCTCAGGGATTCTTAGGCTTTCAACAATCGAGCAATTTATGTACTCAATTTGGATGATTAACGATACAGGTTCTCGTTACAGGCAAATGGTAAGCCGCGGGTTCCTATTAAATTAGTATGGATACTACGTTAATGAGTAACGTTTGGATGTCAAAATCGATAAGGCGAAACGATTAAATGCGTCGTCTGCTGAATGAGCGCCATCTTGAAAATTTGACTTTTTTTCGAAAGAGTTAACAAAACAGCGCCGACTGATGCTGGACGCTTGCCCTGTACCAGTAAACGGTTGCGTGTAGACCTTTCTGATTTTTCGAAATACAGCCGGCCGTGAATCGTCAAGTTGATAGTCATAGTTAATTCCTATCAGTGATGTATGTTACAATAAAGAGATGTAGTGAAGATCTGAATCGTTCCAACGTACATTATTAGCCTGCCTGTATAAAACCGTATATATATATATATATATAGTGAGTCTGAAACCAACAAAAATCCACCATTTTAGCGTATCAGTTCACGTATAGAAAAAGCTTTCGCATAGCAGCACAGTCCGTTCCAGAGTGGCCGAGACCCAGAGTCACCGTTCTGTAAATCACTATTACAGTGTTCCTGTCTACAATCGCTCCATTAGATCGCCAAACGGGAGAAGTAGTCAGCATAAGATCACCCGTACCGTTGGACAGTCTTCCGCGACCGGTTGTGGGTGTTTCCGTTGTAGCAACCTCGTTCGGACCAGGCACGCCACAGGGTCGCCGCCCACATGGCTGTCCTCTATGTGAATATTGTTCGGATCGAAAATGGAATCTTCGGCTACACATGAAAAATCGTCATAACATCGATCTACAACAGAATCAACAGGCGATACCGGCCACTCCAGCAAGCAACGTCCTGTAACACAGACAATAGCGATGGTATTGAGCGGTACTGCCGAGGTGTATTTCGTCGATAACAGGGTGGCCTCAAAACGTTGTCTTAGAATGAATGCGAGGCGGGACGCGGTCACAAGCGTCCGCTTAATACAAAGCAGTAGTCACAGGTCATAGTTCTTCTATTTTCCGTTGTTTAAGATCTGTGGCTAACGAAAAGGGGCTATTTTAAAGTTCCGTTGCCTGCGTCGCACGATTCTCTCATGTCCCAGGGTTTGTTTATTATTAAGGTTCTGTAGAACGTGTGGTGATGATCTTCACCAAATTACTAGTAAAAAATGTAATAATTCATCGAATGATAACAAACGCAAACAGGGATGCGTTGCATTGTAAGCGCTATTTGGCAGACCCTAAAACCCGAGGGGATTCCGCTGTAAGAAGAGGTAAAAAAATTACAAATAACCTGGATGCTATTTTTTCCTAGTAAGTTTTCCACGTCTGACGGCGTATGACGGATACCTCAAAATCAGTGGGGGGTTCTTCTTAAACAACAATATCGTTGTGACAATTTCCAAATTTGCCATATTGTAAATCAAAACAGTGCTCTCTGATAGACTGACGATTAGCAACGTTCATAGGTAGTACTGTCGAGTATCATGTACATAAACTAATACGCATTAGAGGGCAAACGTGTGTGAACGGGCATTGACAAAAAAAAAAACCTTTTTAAGGATTAAAGACTGTGGCTAGTGCTAGGCTTCGGAAGAGATACAATTTGAATAAATAGTCTCCATGAGGGCAGCTTTGTGGAGTTGTTTCTGAGAAAAAAAGGAAATTGCAAATTTATGAGGATCAAAGAAGAAGCTCATTGTTGAGATTCACCCGCTTGATGCTATGATAGCAGGGGGCCGTTTGAGCAGTTCCACGTTGGTAAGATTTTTTAGTAGCTCAGTAGACATTCATCGATATGGAAGGTTTTGTTATTAACAGAGAATCTCGTCTTAAGCAATGGAAACTGGGTACTCTAATTTCTATGTTTATACCGTTAATTTATTATAAATTGTACATAGTGTGTATAGTATGTGCCTCGTCAATAAAAGTTTGTTCAAAATTGTAATATTGTGGTGATTAAACATACGGTAACTGCTTTCTGCGTTTTATTACCTATCGGAAAATTATTATATAGGAAAATATTTAGCGTCTTATTAAATGTCGTTCACTTGAGCGTATTATTTTCGGCAATTTGACGCGGTTTTACTGCAGATAAAAGCCCTTAGGCTTTTTTGCCCAATTCGAATTCGAAAAAAAAGAAAATAAAATCCAGTCAGATTAATTAATCAATGGGAAATATGGACGTATTATTATTAGAAAAAAAAAACATATCTAATACGTTCTTTTGCTTTCAGGTAGGAGCCAAAGCTGTACGATAATGAAATACTCGGATGAGCCACAGAGGAAATGAAGATGCGCGCCACTTTTAGGAGTCATCGTCGCCGATTTGCCTTCTCAAAGGATTCAAGGAGCGAATCAATGAAATATATATGAGCAATAAAGATCTGTTGTATTAATCGCCGACCAGTGGTGTGAAGCTTTCGAAAGTGCGCCTGCCATAGTTTTCTGAATGGATCAGACCGGCATTCTAATTGTATATGCTTCGCTAAAAAAAGGCACGGTATGGAATAGAAATGGAACAATTATATATATATATATATATATATATATATATATATGTTTGTTCCATTTCTATTGGTCGCAATATAATTCCGCCAATTCATAGCGAGTACAGGAACCTGACTCACAAACCTTTAATCGTTGCACGTGCATGATCCACCAAACCTTGGCTAGATAGGTCCCCTTTTTCCCCATGGCATGCATTCAGGTCTTTCGTACGTATAATTGTATGGTATTTACATATAATCATGTAACATGTCTTCTAACATTCAACACATGTATAGCGACACGCGTGAGCATACAACAACGACCTAGCAACATCAGTAACGCCGTCTGGTAGCCATAGCCAAACGTTATTTTAGACGTGTACAGCATCCGTCTACATAGTAGAGTAACCGCTGCAACAAAACTAACCCCAGTGATCTGTTCCTACTACGGAATGCAACAACGACTTTCTATTGACTAACCCACTGAAGACGAAGCCCAAGAAGGTGACCAACATCAAGCTCGCTCAAACTCATCGATATAGGAAAATGCCTATAGATTTAACGCCAACGACAAAATTACTCTGAAGCAACATTCTCACCGGCCATGTGCTTCGCCGAACGATACATATTCCTACGCGAATGGGAGGTGTGAGATGGTCTTCGATGTAAGTTCGTTCTTTCTCCCTCTCCCTCCTCTCTCTCTATCTCCCCCTCTCCCCCACTCTCTCTTTCTCCCCCTCTATCTCTATCTCTCTCTCTCTCTCTATCTCTCTCTCTCTCTCTCTCTATCTCTCTCTCCCTCTAAGCGTTGGTCATCGCGCTGGATTCACTGTAATTTTATATTGTTCCTACTATTAAAATAAAGAAGCGCTGAAAGTGATTGGGCGTCCGTCAACTTACTCAATTGATCTGTGTTATGACTCCGTTCTATCCTGTCTACTCGGTCTGCTACTACCATTTATAATTGCTACTTCCAAACCTTTCTGCAAGTAACAAGCATCGGTACGTATCACTTACCTTTAATTAATAATAATCTTGTCTACACGCTGTTATAACACCTATACAATAACTTGCTGTAAACCTATATGTATATAAATATAGGTGTAGGTAAGACTAATGTCTATGCGATAAACTGTAAACTGTTTAATAGAAGACCTAGTCACAACAACGTACTAATAAAAGAGGTCAAAGAAACGACATGCCTCACACCATGGTTGTTGCTGCAGGTCATTGCATTATATTGCAGTGAAGTATGAGGAAAAAAATTATGGCTTATGTCACACGGTAGTAGATATCATTGGGCTGATTTGCTTTTCGCGTTCACGCGTTATTTCAGAGATCCTTCAAGATATGCTGTTGTATGGACGAATGCCGCCGTCTCCGTTGGACGCGGGTTGTTCGTCAGGATCCCCAACCAACTCACCGGGGCCAGGCGCTCAAGGAACTCTCATAGGGGCTGGAGGCGGTAGTGGCTATAAGCGACTTTACTCTTGTCACGTGTGTGGCTATCATACGCACATCAAGCGAGCACATGAACGACACATCCTCACTCATACTGGCGAGAAGCCCCACAAGTGTGACTATTGTGAGTTCCGGTCGAATCGTAAAGACAACTTGCTCACGCACGTACGGAAAAAGCATCAAAACTCAGCGATGGCCCTACAGTTCCTCCTACAGCAAGCACAACTCCAGCAACAACAGCAGGATAGCTCGGGAACTCAGCTAGCAGGATCGTTAATACTGGATGGAAATAATAATCAAAATCATCACAGTAGTAGCAATCGGAGCACGAGCGGCCATGGAAGCAATAGTTCGCCAGGACATCACTCGTCGCTTGGAAGTAGCCCCACAACAGGCATTATGCTCCTGCCACCATGAAATTGCCAATTACAAAGGATCTTAGCGGGGGCCCTTTGAACTACGGGGTTTTACCAGCCTGCGGAGATTGAAACTGTGGAGAGAAGGGCAAGTTAAGGAAAACACAGGCACAAAACGTATTTTACTATTTCTGGAGTGGGCGAAATTAGGGAAAGGTTCGACGAGCAGAAAATTGTTACTGAGGAGAGAGAGTGATGGCGAGAAACAGGTATAATGGAACCAAGTGCAATGAAAGACGGAAAATAGGAAAAAACGTAATATCTATATGAGGTGCTGCTGCAGAATCGAGCGGCACGTACGACATAGCGTAACGGACGAGATGCAACCGTAATTCTCTGCCGATGCTGGAAGTATGTGAGCTCGCTCTCAGACGAACACGTCATTTCCAGCTAAAATCAAAATGTCGTAAACTGGAAATATCCATTTGTAGGTGGCATCACTAGTCCATAGTCTGAACGTGTCACGAAAAATGGACGTGTTTCAGAAAATGGGGGCGATCAGGCAAAGGCTAAGGCCCGATTTCGTGTCCGATTGTCAAGCTGCCGAATCGTCGCCCAACACGAGTGGCAATATATACTTCAAAACTATACGGAGCTGACAGAGTATGGCTTTACGAGCATACGGCGATGCTTGTTAGCGGCATCAAATGTTGCTGGGAACTACTTCTGCTACCATTATATAGTATTATGAACGGCCTGCAGTGCGGCTAAGAACGGGATCTAGCTTGTGGAAGCTGGTCCTTAATTTTTGTAAAGAACGCTACTATTTACCTTAAAGGTGCAATACGAAATAAGGCATACATGTTTCATGCAGTGAATATTTACTGCTCATGATTCATGCCGTATGCTCGTCTGGCGCTCCAAGAAAATAAGTCAGCAAAACACATGTCAGGCCAAGTTTTTCGGTGATTCGGAACGGCCCAGAAACGAAACAGAAATTACGACAACTAAAAGTGTCCTTGCGCTGAAGTTTGCAAATATTATCGGACAGAAGATACCTAGCTATCGGACCAATGAAAAGCGAAAATCTTCTTACATACCATGATATACATTTAACATATAATATACATATAAATATACATAATTTCGATAGCCGAAAGGCTTTTTATAACTATTAATAGAGCAGAAAAGATCATAGGTTACTAATAATGTATCAATAACGTTGTCATTCCTAAGTACATACGTTCCTTGATTAGCCAGATTTGTCGTACGCGACTGGCCACGTTAAAGTGGTGCTATTTTTTTACGTAAACCCAGGAGCGAAACGAAGTAAGTCATCATCAATCAATGTATGACAGAACTCGCTTAAGCGCGAAGCGTGCGCGAGATCATCGAACAGAGCAAGGTAATTT